GGTAGACGAGGCTGCAAGATGCGGTAATTGAATCACGCGAATACGAAAGGAGCAAAACGAATGATTGTTCATTCGATATAAAATATAGGGACACGAGAGAGAAAAGATAGAGAATTTGTTATTGCATACGTTTAGTATTGTATTTATTAAACATTTTTACGAATTATTGCCATTTTGGAAAGTTGCCAAATCGGATGTTAAACGGCTGCCACGCCGAGAAAAGTCTTTGAAAATTTATTTGTGGCATATAATGTTTATTTCAGTGAATCATTTTTAATACGAATTGTAGATAGAAAACAACCACGTCTTTTATTCAGATCATTTTGCGGATTCTTTCAACTCCATCGTTAAATTAAACGATATGTTGAATAGGAGCAGTGGCGATTGTTCATTCGATATAAAATATAGAGACACGAGAGAGAAAAGATAGAGAATCTGTTATTGCATACGTTTAGTATTGTACTCATTAAACATTCTTACGAATTGTCGCCATTTTAGAAAGTTGCCAAGTCGGACGTAAAACGGCTGCCAAAAATAATCGCGGGTCATCGATTTCTGCATTAATAAAATTTCGTAGCGACACAGTAAGTCAAATTTGACCGGACAAGTAGTCGCCACTGCTTCTACTCAATATGTTGTTACTTTTAACTATCGTGTGCAGTAAAATTGATCATTTTAATACAAACTGTAGGTAGAAAACAACCACGTCTTTTATTCAGACCATTTTACGGATTCTTTCAACTCCATCGTTAAATTAAACGACATTGAGTAGGAGCAGTGGCGATTGCTCATCGAGTTAAATATAACGGCGTGAACGTTGAGACAAAATTCGGCGAATAAATCCCAGTCCACGACGCCGGTAAATGTCGAAAACCGTCGGTATAAAATTGTGCGAAATTGCTCGTGTGGCCCGTGAGATAAAGCGAGTTTTGACATAACTGCCGCGCGTCGGATTCGCATGACCCGTCGCGATATGACAAACGATTGTGCGCGCACACGCGTGACGGAAGTGTTATCGCGGGCGACGCGCGACGTAAGAGCGAGGAAGACGCAGGAATGCACGCGTACGGGGAGAGGAACGGGTTGACGAGGTCGGGTGAATGCCGTTAGACCGTGTCACGTCGTCGAGTACATACACGCGCTGTGTGAAACACCGTCGTCTGGGAGGAGAGAGAAGTGGAAACGGACGGGCCGACGGAGGGAGGCGGAACGAAACAAAGAGAGAGTTCCAGGATCGGAATCTGCGCGATCCCGATTGTCTCCGCGCGAAATCAAACGCGTCGTCGCGAGCGAGTTTCGCCGACCGAGGAGACGTCGACGCGTCCTATCAAATTTAAGCGATCCGATCGCGCTGGAACAGGACCAATATTCCGTGTCCGAGATCGATACTCGCTCGTTGAGTTTCGATTCATCGTTTCATTCGATTCATTCGATTCAATTAATGCAAAATGTAATAATTTAAAATATAAAAGTACGCGGGAAGAATCTCCCGAGGGGGAAACCACTGACCGAAATCTTGTACACAAATCCCCATTAATGCCCAGTGGGCGTTACTTTATCTTATTATCTTGTTTTATCTTATTTATTTTTATCTTATCTTGTTTTGTCTTTATAATGCCCAAAAAATGCCTAATAATGCGCCAAATCTGTACACCACAATGGTGGTTTTTCCCTCGGAATTATCCTCTTAAAATTTACCCTGAAAATCGTGTAATCGTGGGACGTTTTCAAGAAATTTGTGAGTTTTTGAAATATTACCATATACAATTTACTAATAGAACGTATAATAAAAATTTTAAAAACTCATAAAGTTGTTCAAACCGCCACGTCGTCCCACGATCACACGATTTTCAGGACAAATAGCAAGAGAAAATTCTCTCCGAAGCCAATTACTTTTCTGGAAATTACCGGAAGGATCTCTCGTCGGCACTTTTTTTTCAGAGTGCAAAGAAGACTGCAAAATAAATCTTTTTCGTGAACGCCCGTTCCTTTACCAAGGACACGATCGAACACATAATATTCTCCGTATCGTTTCCTTCACTCGAGTCCGCGATTCGCTGGATGTTGACTCGTCGTTATAACCGGTTCGACGGTCGGTCCGCTCGCGCATTTTTCTTGCCGCGCACGACGTGCGTGCCTCGCGTGACGCAACTCCCTCGACACATATTGCCCCCGGGGTATCGGAGAGATGCACCGTGGCCCGGCGCGGCGCGTCCTGCGCGAAACTAGGACACGCGGCCGACCACGGCGTGTGGACTCTTCCTTGCCGAGGTGTCCTTCGAGACCCGCGAATTCCGGGCGGCGCGGTTTGCCGCGGGCCCCGGCGAAGCGCGCGCGCGCATTTCAAGATCGATCCCGGCCCCGCAGCGATCTGTTTTGACTCAGAAAGAGAGCGGATCCAACGGGTCCTAGCGGATGGAAGCGCGGTTCTCCATTTTTTTTTTGCAAAATCGCACCGTAACGACGGGTCGCATTCAAATGCAAAACCTTTGTCGCGCGGCGCGGGACGCGCGCCGCGTCGCGCCGATCGTCGCGGTGCAACAGCTATCCCATGAATAATTTAATGCCCGACATAGCGCCATTGTCGTGTACTAATGGCATTGTGCGCGACACCCCGATCCCGCGCGCAGATCGGCTCATTATCATTACGCATTCCCCGCTTTATTTCGAAATAAAGACGAGACAACGGCCACTGACACGAGCACGGGACTCAGGAGCGGCTCGCGAAATCGGAATTCGCCTTGTCGGCTCGTGAAATTGCACACGGAGAGTATTTCCTTTCAAACTTTACCCTCAAAATCGTGCAATCGTAGGACAACGTGATATTTTGAACTTTATGAGTTTTGTGAAATCTTGCCACACAATTTTTTAGTAAAGCGTTATACTAATTGTAAGTATAATCGTAAGTAAAATGTATGGTAAAATTGTAGAAACTCTTATAAAGTTCTTCAAAATGCCATGTTGTCCCACATAACCAAATTTTCCAACTAAATTTCGTTGTTGTATCAACTGAAAGATTTGTTTGCCCATATCCAAACAAGAAATTCAGTTGAGTCGACCAAATTTTGTTTCATTCAACAAAATGGGTCTCTCGGTGTGGGACACTGTGGCAGTTTGAAGAACTGTATGAGAGTTTTTGCAATTTTACTATACATTCTACTAGTAAAATACCCCAGTAGGCATTACTTTATCTTATTTATCTTGTTTTGTCTTATTTCATCTTGTTTATCTTATTTTATCTTTACAATGCCCAAAAAATGCCCAGTAATGCCGCAAATCTGTACACCACAATGCCCTCAGCGGTTTTCCCCTCGTAAAATGTATTGTAAAATTTCAAAAAACTCTTATAAAGTTCTTCAAAATGCTGTGTTGTCCCACGATTGCATGATCTTCAGAATAAATTTTAAGAGAAAATTCTCTCCGCGCAGTAGATCCGTTTAATTTACCGCGTCTGACACGTTTGAGATGTTAAATGGCGACGCGAGATTCTTTGTACCCAGACGTAGAGCAAGTAAATATAAATCGTTAATATTGATATTGATTATCAAGCTTAATATTTGTTAATAACAACGAAGTGCTTTCAAGAATTAAATTCGTAATCCAATAAGAAATAATTTCGATTAAATTTATTATACAACGAGTTAGTCGACTGCTTAATTGCGCTTCACGTGTGATCGCGATTAAAAGTTCGTACTTCCGATTCAACTTTTTCATAGGAGTAAACGATTAATAAACAAAAGACTCCGGATGTTAAAATTGCATGCAGGTAAAAGTGGGCTTTGAGACTCAAACGCGTTTAGTTGTGCATAAGGTAACGTTAATATTATAAATACAAGTCGATTAAATTAATTAAATGTTGCATAATGTTAACTCGCGCAAATAACCGCGTTTGACTCTCAAAGTCCGCTTTTCCTTGTTGTTCATTACTTTTAATTGAATTGCATCTGTAATATTTCAAGACGAGAGAGATACACTTTCCAAACAATCGACCACTAAAAATGCCTACGCAAAGGCTCGAGAAAGTTTGAAAGCGTCCCAGCATCACATTTTTAACGCATCTCCGAATTGGGAGACCAAGATGCGGGAGACGAGCTGCATTTAAATATATGCAAATAAAAGAGTTTCTTTAATAAATTGCGGAGGAGAAAAAGGGCAACGACGACTCCCTAATGACCTAACGTATCGCTCCTGTTTAGCTTATACAAGTAATAAAACAAATATTTTGAGAAACAGCAAAAAATTAAAAATCAAAGTGATAAATAACAAACCCGAGTAGCACAGTGCATTGGTTAAACATTGATCCAATGTCGGTTATATTAGAAATGCATTGGCCGATATTCTCCAACGTAGAGCGAATATTGGCCATGGAATAAATGTAAATATTGCACGATAGTAATTATATAATTAGATTTATATTGGAGGTGCATTGGCCAATATTTAATAAACGTAATAAAACTATTGGTCTAATATTGATCCAATATTAAACCGATATTGCTAAATAGACTCATTGGCTAAATAAGAGAAGGCGTCCACCTTACAATATTGGACCAATACTGGGAATACTATATTTACGTTATTTCCCAATATCGCGCAAATATATTGCGCTACTAGGGACGGTCAGGCTCGTGTTTGCGAGGTAAAAACAAACAACAAACAAGCGGAGAAATTAATCAGTAAAAAGAAAAAACAAATCCACCAGGGGTTATAAGTTTCAAAACAAATGATTACGAAACGTCGATTAAATGCAATTTGTGGGACGCGAGCGGGTCGAAAAAGGGGGGAACCGGGTAGAGAGACGCAAACTCTCCGTGAAAAAGACAAAGCGACCCTGGCGTTGTCTCACCGCGAACGTCGCCGATCCGTCGGGCAGGACTCGGTACTCGCTTCGGCGCAGGTGCGACGAGACAAAGCCAGTCGCATTGAAAAGGGTTTAGCGCGGGGGGGGGGGGGGCGGCGCGGGTTGTTCCCGCGAGGAGCAAGAGTAACGCGAAGAATTTTACCAGCATCGCTTCGGCATCGTTTGCTTGTCCCGTTCCGCTGCTCCGCGACGGCCGTGCACGTCCCTCCGTTTGCCGCGTCTCTTTCTCTCTCTCTTCTCTTTTCCTCTCCCCTGAGAACGGCGAACCCGAAGGTCTCGAACCAGTGGAACCTTCCTCCCTTCGCAATGGAGATCCCTCGAGTTGCCGCACCGTCAGCGTCTCGGCACCGCGAGCCGGCCGCGCCAGGCGAACGTTAATTTCCGCGACGACCGGAATCGAGGCCAACGTACACACGTGTCCCACGGCGTCGGCACAACTGAATTTCAGGCTACCGCGGCTCCTTCTCTTTATTCTCACCTGGCGCGGACAGGTGCCGCAGGTGGCACCACCGTCCGATCGGCGACCCCCTGCCGCTTACCGATCCTGCTGGTGTTCCGGTCACCGATCGCAAGAGCAAGTCGCGGAGGAAAAAAACAGAGAGAAAAACACGCGCTACTCTTCTCCCTTTTGCCGAAGCGATCGACTATCAGGGGAAAAAATTTCAGTAAACAATACAAAATTTAACAAGCACCCATGCGTCCCGGCTCTTGTTTACCGATTTTCACCAAAACTTGCGCGTTCACGTCCCTCTTGGACCGCATTAATTGTACAAAAGAACCGGAGCGGAATTTCAGTAAATAATAAAAAACCTACCAAGCACCCGCGCATCCCTCTCGTTCACCGATTTTCACCGAAACTTGCGCGTTCACGTCCCTTCTGGACCGCATATTAATCATAAAGGGAAAAGAAAAACGGGATGAAAACAAATCCATCTTTTTTTTCTCAAACGATGGACCGAGCCCGAGGTAATATATTTTAGAGCAAAAAGTGGTGTTAAAGATTCCGCGGCGGTCACAACATTGAAGTAGAAAGTCTTTTTCCTCTCGTTTAGCGAAGGTTTTTCCGGGAGGCCAGTTTTTTTCCCTCTCGGACCCCTACGACTTTTGGGGAAACTGTTTGTGAAATGTCGGTCCACGATATTCAGGAAGCTACCTTCCCCTCCTGGTTCCCGATTTCTTCTTTCTTTTTCGCATAAAAAAAACATCGCAGGGATGGCCGCAACAAATTTTGAACCGCGTTTTTTTGTTCGCGCACGCAGGTGTTCCGGGCTGAACGGTGCTCTTCCGGGTCCGGCTCGTAACAAGCTACTTTTACCTCTCGTGAAGCGCCTCAAGGAGAGAATGCAATGATATTGCTATTCTTTTGTACAAAAGGGAACGACCGCCACGAATTTTTAACCGCGTACACGAACGCGCGTGCGGGCCAAAGGGGAGGCCGCCGCTTGTCCTTTACTCTTACCAGACAGATGGCTTTTTTTTATCGCGAAGCGATCTAAGAGGGACATTGGTATTTCTACTTTTTTTTACGCTACCCAGGAATGACCACGAATTTTTTTACCGTGCTTTCGCTCGTGCGTTTTACATCTCGCACGGAAGAAAGCCTTTTCGGGACGGTGCGTTAGACAAAACTCTTTTAGGGAACGCTACTTTTTTGCCTTTCGGTCCAACTTTTTAGGCAACTGCATACGAGCGCGGTCTGCTTGATATTTGCTCCAAATTTCAAGTAAAATACGCGGTGTAAAATGTATTTGTAGGGAAAAGATTCTATAGATACGCGATACATATCTTTACTATAAAAAAGTATATTTGTTAGACAAATGTGTTTGTCTAACTACTGAAAAGATGCGCATACAAAATCTTATTGGTGCAAATTTCGTTTTCAATTAATAATGCGTGCAGTGCATACAATACACATATAATAACATTTAATAATTTGCTAAGAAATGTTTCTCAGCTTCGCTGGATTTCACGAGTATCAGGAAAGCCGGTGTACCACCGCGAACTACAAACCTAAAACAATCAATTATGATATTAAAAATTGGCTTCGGCTTCTGCTTAATTTGTAAAATCATCTTGCTGATAAATGCTCACTGTTTATCCCGTAGTATTTCGCTCAACGCGAGTTGGACGTCCACTTTATGAACGGAACACTTGTTTTTTCCTTCAAAATATACATTGATATTTTCCACGGTATAACGACGTTTTGCGTCCCACTCGGGAGGCTCCTCGAACAGTTCGATTAATTGTTCGATCAATCTGGGAACGATTAGAAATATATTTTAACGGTAAAATTATACGATACTTTGGTGGAAAGGAGAAAGACATACAATGTGTCTTCGTGGAAATTTTGTATAAAGTCAGTTTGCTGAGTCTCCGGGTACAAAATCATCACTGGCCACACAAGCTTGTCCGTCGCGTCAAAGTGCACTCTGCTATGCGCTATTTGTGGTACTTGAGGCTCCAGATCTCTCAATTCCAGCTTTTGTTTGTCGCTCGTCAACTCTAAGCTAATACCTTTCCGAGAGATCGTTTCTAACAACTTCTGGTCCTCCTTATCCGATTTTTTCTCTTCCCTCTCCCGCTTCCTCTTGTCTCGTCGTAAACGCTCCTTCGACAGCAGGAATGGTGTTAAGACTGGAAATTCGTGCTTCCATAACTCAACTTTTATATTAGCATTTATCAGTACGACTTACTCTTGCGACTACGGCATCAGATTTTAATTTCAATATCGTTTTATCGGTTGGACTATGATCGAGGAACTGGTCGCACAAGTCGATGCATTGGTCATGATCTCCAATGTGAAAACTACAAGCGGCAGCTCGGCTCAAAGCCTTCGAATATCGTGGCTTCAACTTCAAGGCCAATTTGCAGTCATTCAAGCATGATCTGTAATTTTTATCGCATTACAACGTAAGCCCCCACCGTTAGCGTTTGATCATGCATTATCAGAAGCCGCACGTCCACCTGTAATTTTGCAACATGAAATGCGACGCGGCTCTGTTATTATAAAGTTGAGCCATCAAATCGTCATCCTTGCATTTGGTTCTTATTCCCTCTGTGTAACTGAGAATAGCAAGGCGGTACTTTTTGTACTTGTAATTGAAGTTGCCATCCTCCTTGTAATTGTTTGCCAATTCTGCGTCAAAAAGTATACGTATGAACGTTTTCGGCCTGGCAACGTGCGCTTTGCGCGCGAGCAACGGCGAACGTTACGGGTAAAGTGTAGGGAGTGAACTGCGTGTATCGAGGAAGAACGCACCTTCCGGAGTGTTCACATCCTCTCCGTACTTGAGCTGCTGCAGCCCCTCCATCAGGGGCGACAGCTCGTCGCCGGGTTCCGGCGCCTTCTTCATGAAGAAGGGGTGCTTCTCCATCTCCTCTTGCCACCGGTCCTCCGGCCATCCCTCCGCGTAGCTCTTGCTCTCGAGGCCGCTTATGTACTCGTCCAGCTCGTTGTCCAACTTCGCCGCAAGCTCCAAACGCTCCTCCTCCGTCCAAACTCTCCGTTTTTCACCAACCTCGTCCCCTGGCCGTTGCATATTTCCCGCAAGTCCTACGACGCACGAAACATAACCTCAACGTCCACCGCTCGTCCACCGCGGACGCCACGTGGGGGAAAATAGCAGACGATAATTTAGCCCTGATTTTACCGACCATGCGGGATTTCATCTGCAGATGGCGCTGGCTGTGCGATTTAAATATGTTTGAATGCACTTTTTGATGCACGAGTAAATGTGATTTCACGTTTTTTTTAAATTACAAATCAAGTTTCAAGTGAAAAGAGATGGAGAAAGCAAATTACAGATAAATAAAAATAAATTGATAAACGTTACTGATGTAATTACTAGAAATATAGAAGAGACAAAAGAAACAGCCCAGAAAAGCAAATTCCTCCATCTCTTTTTGTTCTGAAATGCTTAAAAGTTGAAAAAACACTCGCTTTGCGTCACCGCCCGGGAAAAAATGGAAATGTCCCATTATACATGTTTTAATCACGTAATATCTAATTACATCCAATTTTAAAATTACCAACTCTTCAGAGATCTGACACTTTTATTGAATATTAAATATTATTATCTATTGAGATCTAATTATGTTCTCTTAGGACATTTAATTATAGATTCAGTTAGATCTCAACAGATAACCTCGAGCATTCACGGAAAGTGTCAAATCTCTGAGAATCTGATGATTTTTAGAATTGGATCCCATACAGCAAAGCTTTCAGGAACATTTCAGAAACATTGAAATATTGCAAATTGCATAATATATGTTTTCTCGGTGTGCTACACTTCTCTTTTAAATTCATAGTAAATGAAGATTTGCAATTTAGAAATATACATTTGTATACACCAACTATTGAGGTAAAATCTCTAATCTTAGTAGTTAGAATTTAAGTAACAATGATTTTTGTTCCGATACATTTTCTCGATTGAACAGAATTAATCGTTTATTTAATCGGTACCAATAAGTCCGCAGAATGATACACAAAACGTAGTAACAGTCACGAAACAAAGGGACAACGAATTCTCAACGTTTTTTTTGTTGTTTTTCACTCGGCGCGGTATCGTACGACGTTACGATTCAACGTTGAATTGGGCAGTGGGCCGCCCTAAGACAGCGATTTTTAATAATTAATAACTCATTAACTATTGCAAAACCTGCAAAGTGGTACAGGACTTTTCGACTTAGTCTAGTCCACTCTATCCCACAATAAACGTTGATGCGGGTATTACATAACACCCTGTATACCTAGTTGACGATGTACAACTGTGCTGTTGCGAGTCGTATCAGTGAGTGAAAAATTACTTTTTATTTTAAATTGACATTGCGCATACAATTACTTCTCTTTGCACGCATACAAATTCTTAAAAATATACAATGCTGAACTACAAACTGCGCGCGCGAAGCGCGCGTTTCGTCATTTCTATAGTAAACTATAAAAGTGATATAAGAAAACAATATACATATTACAAACATAATTGCATCAATATTTAAAAATAATATTGCTACAACATTACTAAAGTAATATTGTAAAATAATGTCTCTGCAATATCTATGTACCATTACACTGCAAGATGCAACGTTGCAATCTTGCGGCAATGTTGTTGCAAGCTTTTGTATTTCCGGAATTCTTTTCGAAATACCGGAAAGGAATTGGTCTGAATTCATTTTGAAATTACGCTAATTTGCGAAGAAATTAAAAGAGCGAGTTCTTTTTGAGTTTGTAATAACGATCACCTGCGCCGTTTGAGAAAGCAGCGTGGGAGAGAAATGAAATTACCAGCGAATTATAAAATGTAGGGTTCGATATTAAAAAGAACAAACCGTTCAACGCTGTATCTAATTAGCTTAATATCCAATTAACCATAATTATGTCAAAGCGATTTAATGAACTAGCGCATGATGCATTTGCCGCACGCGAATACTGATTCGCGTACAATCGCGCGACCCGTTTCAGGTTAAGCTAATACAAGAAGATCGAGGCGGTATTGAAATTTGGAATCCACTCGATAAACATCGTCAAATATCGTACGGTATTTTTCAACGCCGCGTCTCCGAAATTTCAATTCGCTCTTACAAAACTGCCGTCTGACACGAATCCCTACTTTAAAATCCGCGACGCGCGGCTTTGACAATTAAACGGTCGATATTTCAATGTAGATTCCTCAAATGACATTCCTCGCGCAATTAATCGTTTGCTACAAATTCTAACGAAACGATTCGTTTCCCTCCGAAAATTCCGTTTGAGATCAACGTTATTGGAATTGCGCGGTTTTAATGTTCTTAAAAAAAACGAATGCATTACAATAAGGGTATTATAGTTGCTTCGCGGCCGCGAACGCTGATATAATTATATCGCTGTTAATTGAAACCGATCAATTCTAACTCTCAATAATTCAGAGTATTTCCGAAGTGTACATATGGAGTAGAAGCCAAGTTACGTCGACGTTGATCTAACCAATATTAACTCGATTCTTAAGTAATTACACAGTATTTAAAATGTTATTCGTCTTTTGTGTTGTCTTTTACCGGTTTATGCAATTTTTAATTTTAAAACACCTCTTCACTTTTATACGAGAAAATATTAAATCCTATTGTGAAATTCAGTAATTAATTCAAAGAAAAATAACATGTTTGAATTTCACTGCCATATTGTAAATGAATTTTATTCTATTAGACTATTAGAATTACTTTTAAAAATTACATTACATTATAATACATTTAATAATGCTCGGTTGAACGATATTGTGCAATAAAGTGTGATCCAACATTGCGTTAATTAATTATTTTATAGCAATTGCGGATTTATTTAGTGTATTAATTCAATTTTTTAGAAACGTGAGTTGACACACACTGCCGCACATACTGTATTAATAAAATAATATATATTACAAAACATCAGAATATTTTAAATATATTAATAGAGGGAAAGTCCTCTATTACGAGATAGGCTCCTAATGTAAGATAGCGGAGTTTCTGCTAAATTATTTGACATCAATTGTCGTGCCATCGTGAATTTATTGTTCCTGGAGTGAAATCTGTTTAGCGAAAAATTGATTGTTAGATCGTGTAATGTTGCGAAAAAGGATTTGTGATAGAATTTGAACATTGAAAACCTACTGTCTCATATTAGATTAGTCTTCACGAAAAATGAGTAGCATATCGTCACAATTTTTATATTATATCTCTTTCATTTTTTTCTCCGATAACATTCGTATCACGCGAAAACCTTTTAAATGTCCGCGACAATTTTAAATTGTCAAATTTCGTCACGCGGATAATATTGTTGTAGTACAGCAACACATATGTCTATTTGGATTTATCTTTTCGTCTGGTTTAAAATTCAGGACGCGAAGGCTGAATAAAGAATTGCGCTAACTTTTGAATTGGCTTCGACCAGTCAATTGTTAATTAAAGATACACACAGCGTGAAAAATAAAACTGGAAAAATATAATCTCCCGATGACTTTATTAACGCGTATATTGATAATGTAATCGACATTTCAATAATCATTTTCATCGCTACCCGATATCGCGTGTGTTGATCTATACGGAGATAAATATTTATCGAAGTTGCCTAAAAACAAAAAGTATCTCAATCACGTTGATCGCGCAGCAAAAGTCATGAATTAACGTTGAATAACAGATGGCTTAATATTGCGACAGGGCCATCAATATTAATAAACGTTCGATAAATACACAATATCCATTTATTTTTACATATTGACTGTGGAAATAAAACATTGAAATTTGATGTATAACCGTAGTAGGATCATCTATACAAATGCGGAAAAGCCGGGATATGGAAAATTTGATCCCTATGAGCTGGAAAATGGAGGGTGGCGAGGGATGGACAGAATAAGAGAGAGACGAACAGACAGTAGACAGGGGAAATAGTGGAGGGAGGGAAACAACTGTCTCACGTACACACGCATCTACACACACGCACACGTTTAAAGATGAATAAATTATATGTTGTAACGCGCGTCCTTTGTTGACTTTAATTTCCGCCATGTTAAATTTATGACAAAAATCTCACGAAAACAGATTTACGGGGCGGATTTGTTAAAACGGGCCGTGTTAATACAATGCGATATCGATAATTCGATACTAATTAATATACGGAGATATATTATCGGATTATCGGGATATCGGGATTGCGAGATTCGTAGCGCGTGACCGCGAATTTGAGGATCCATTATTTCAATACGCGGCAAATTTAAGAGACAGAGAGAGAGAGGGGAGTCCATTGTTAGAATACATCAGATACCGTAGACACGCCTGGGTGCCTTTGTAATTACGGACTTTACGATCAATTTGGAAATGACTCTTTTTTTTCCAAGCAAAAAGACGTCTGGAAACGCACCGTCGATAACTTCGATTTACGCGGCGATAAATCTTTACGGATTATCCACGAGTGGGAAAAAAATCTCAAGGATCTTCTGACTCATCAGCCGTGCATCAGGCGGCATAAATCTCTTAACTAGCGTGTTTTATTTTCCTTCCCTCCGCCGACACGACGCAGTCTGTCAAACCGATTGTCCGCGTCAAAATTAGGGAAAAAATACTATTACGAGTCGGCGAGAAGAGGGCGCCCAGGTAGAACAAGCGTTCGTGACGACACCGGAGCGACGTTGAAGTGACGTTAATGTAACTTAAGTGACGAATAAGGTCACGATGACGTCATCGGGATGTCACTGTGAATTTTGTTTTCTACCTGGGGCGTAGGCGGATTCCAGATTGGAGGACAAAGAAAAGGCGGACGGGGCCGATTTGTAAAGCCGCTATCTGGCGATTCGTAATCGTTAGACGTACCTTTCGAGGTACGTTTTTTTTTCAGCGGGAAATCCAGATTAATCGCATTTTTATCCCGACTACTTGTATCATATTCCGTAATTGCTGTTAACAATTCGATAATCCGACATATCTCCGTCCAGTATCGAATCATCGAAATTATATCGCGGTGTGAAACAGTAGACGAGGCCGAGCAATAAATCGCTCGCAAAGTTCAAGTAGCGAGAGGTTTCTACGGCGTTGCTGCTAACCAAAATTACACGACCCGAGTGTCAGTCGTCGAATTTCAGTCACGCGTTTCGTAGATTCGTTAAGCGATCGAGCGATAGGCGACGACTCCTTCCGAAGGAGGATAACAATCGTAACACAATTGATCGACGCGCTGCAACGTGCTGGAACACTAGAATAAAAAAAATTTTTATCGACCATTCTTTGAGCTATAAGGCTTGAAGTTTAAAACAAATTTCTTATTAGAAACCTCTCTCGTAATAGGGGACTCGCCTTCAGTAGAAACAAACGGCGAGACGCTGAGAAATTCGGCGCATCGGCAAAGTCCTTCCGCGAGATCGAGCGTTTGCAGCGCGAGCGAATAACAGTACAGCGCAGTATTCAGCGGGGAGATCTATTCTCTCGTATTCCTTTTCTTTTACCTAATAGATTGTCGATCATCGTCGCGCACGGGACATTTTTCTTCCGTCGTGTTTCCCGCGGGAAGGAAACGTGTGCTGTATAACTGGGGGGGGGGGGGAGGAAAAAATGCTCTCGGAAGATCTTTTCACTACGGCCAACGTTCTCGATGTGTTTTCCGGAATAAAGGAGCTCGACTTCGCTCAGACGCGAAGGAGGATGGAAGTCGAGAAATCAGATACGCATTTTCATCCATTTGGAATATTAAACATGCACGCCGTGGTGTATACGTCCCGCTCTTACGTAATACGCGGCTTTGCGGAACGACGCTATTTTTCTTTACTTCTCAGTTGTTTGGTTTTCGATTCCTCGCCTTTGCGACTCCTCGATTTGCCGCGCGGTTCGGGAAACCGTCCGCACGCCAGGGGGGGCTGAAAACATACCGGAAAAATGATATCGCGATGCTCGATCGTCGGCATATTTTGGGACCGCGATTTGATTTGGAAACCTTTTACAGTAGCGACGCCCCACAAGTTTGCGCGCATAGAAGATTCGCCGCGAAATATCGCGTCGGTAGAACCGCGATATTACTCGTACGACAGACTCTCTACAAATTAATTACACTGATGAGTTTGTAATACTAATTTTTCACGATTATTTCGGACAAATTCATCCGCGCCGCGCGCGTCAGCGACTCGAGTGAGAGAAGTCAACGCTTGGCGATCGTGTTCTGCTCGATCTAATTGTCAAGCGTACAGTGACGGACAGAATGGTCGCAACAGTTTTTTTAAAGAGTTTAGGAACGCGCATTTAGATTCAGGGGGTCAATTCTTACACTATAGTGAAAATGCTAAAAGTGAGTAGCTCTGTTTCTTTCCGTTTTCTGAGAAAGAGCCACTCGTTCTTAGCATTTTCGCTATATTGTAAAATACAGAATTGATGCCCAGGTTTATATTCCAGAACATTTTCTACGGGGAAAATTTTACTCGAGAAATAGATCGAAAACGCTCGAAACAGTCACGGTTTCTCGAAGAAGATTTTGAAACGTAACTCGAACCGAATCTAAATGCACGTTCCTAAATTCTTTTTGTTTTATGTGTTGCAACCATTCTGGCCACTGTACAATGATAGATAGAATGGTTGAAACATTTTTTTGACAAGTTTAGAAACACGCATTTAGATTCAGGTTTATGTTTCAAAACAATTTCTACGAGGAAAATTTTACTCGAAAAATAGATCGGAAACGCTTAAAATGTTTACACAATGGCTATGGAGTAAAATATTCTTCGTAGAAGATTTTGAAACGTAACTCAAACCGAATCTAAACGTACGTTCCCAAATTCATTTGTTTAAAATGTGTTGCAACCATTCTGGCCATTGTACAATGATGGATAGAATGGTTGAAACATTTTTTTAACGAGTTTAGGAACGCGTATTTAGATTGAGGTTTATGTTTCAAAACAATTTCTACGAGGAAAATTTTATTCGAGAAATAGATCGGAAACGCTTAAAATGGTTGCTGAATGGCCATGGAGTAAAATATTTCTCAAGGGAGAAGATTTTGAAACGTAACTCAACCCGAATCTAAAATCACGTTCCTAAATTCATTTTAAAAAATGTGTCGTAACCATTTTCTGGTCATCGCTGTACAATGGTCGCAACACTTTTTTAACGAGTTCGGAAACGCGCATTTAGATTCAGGTTTGTTCCAAAACATTTTTACGAGAAAAATTTTGCTCGAAAAATGGATAAAAAAACGCTTAAAACGGCCACGGAGTAAAATGTTCCTCGTAGAAAAAGATTTTGGAACGTAATCCGAACCGAATCTAAATGCACGTTCCTAAATTGTTTGAAAAGAAAAGGTGGTGCAACCATTCCGTTCATCACTGTACAATAGATATTTTGCGGATTAATTACGCGGGCGAGTCCACGTTGCTCGTTGTGACAAAGTTAATCCACTCGGACGAGTCTACTGTGTCGTGCGCCAATTTGAAACTTTATCGAGTACCCGCATACAGATTTTTACGTATTCATTTAAATTCTTGGTAGAAACGTCGAACCTGTCGGGGCAGCGACCGGTTCTTGTCGCGAGTGCCGATTGTTCGCGATACTCGGGCAGTTTAGACTCGTCGATTTTCGTCGAGACGCCGCGACGCCGCGCGCGCCATGATAATTTTTCGGGGGCGCGTCGATTCGGGGGACCGGAAGCGCAATCGCTCTGCGAGTTTCAAGCCCGTATCAGGGGTTTGATCGTGAATCCTTTCCCCTAACGCGAAGTCGTGAAAAGTGGCAAACTTCGTTGATGAATATTGAACTCGTTAATAAAATTTTTCACTTTTTACGAGTTCATATTAGAGAAAGAGATTCATCGTCGAGTCCCTGACTGCGGTTTGAGATTGAGATTAGATTGAAATTTGACCAATCGGGGTAAAATTTACTAAACTTGTGGTTAGTAAACTTTACTCTGATTGGTCAAATTTCAATCTGATCTCAATCTCGATTCGCAGACTCTGACACGAGCTTTCCTCGCCGAGAACGTGTACACGGAGAGAATTTTCTTTTACAATTTATCTCGAAACTCACGTATGTAATCGTGGAACAACGTGGCATCTCGAAGAATGTTAGTGATAAATTATAAGAGATAGAAATGAGAGTTTTTTTTGAAACTTTACCTTACATTCTACCAAAATGTATACCGAGTATAATTACTAGTAAAATGTATAGTAAAATTAAAAAAACTCATGGAATTCTTCGAAATGCCGTGTTGTCCCGCGATTACACGATTTCCAGAGTAAACTTTAACAGAGCATGCTGTGCAACGAACACGAATCTTTGCCGGGAGTGTCGATTAACCGACGATCGAACGCCGGAAACCGTGTCTCGGTTACCGCGCGGGTCTTCGCGATCGGTGCCGTTCGGTCGATCGTGATCGAGGCTGCGCGCTGCGATCGAGACCCGCGGTAAGTGGACAGAAAAATCCCGCGGCAGAATGGCCCGAGGGTGCCGCCGGCATACATCTTCATCGCACGCGTCCAAAGTTGGTGAGAGAAGCGCGTTAAAGCCCGTATCAGACTACAGATTCCCGACTTTGACTCGACTACTGACTCGGACTCCCGACTATGATTCAACCAATTAGAGCGGCGTCTATTCCCGTGTCGGCCGGTTCTTTGCTGTGATTGGTTGAATCATAGTCGGGAGTCCGAGTCAATAGTCAAATCAGAGTCTGTAGTCAGGAGTCTGTAATTTGTAGTCAAATCAGAGTCAGGAGTCTGTATAGTACTGTAGTCTGTACTCCTGACTCTGATTTGACTACTGACTCGGACTCCCGATGATTCAACCAATCACAGCGAAGCACCGCGACCGACCCTGACTGCCGACTCGGGAATAGACGCCACTCCAATTGGTTGAGTCACAGTCGGGAGTCCGAGTCAGTAGTCGAGTCTGTAGTCTGATACGGGCTTTATTGCCTACCTTCGGTCCACACTCACAGACGGTTATATATCGATAAGCGTAGATCGCGTCGCCCCCTCTGTCGAGCGCGGGTTTAGGGCGACACGAGGCGCGTCGCGCATGAATGAAAGCGCAATAAAGATTTATCGGGCGCTCCCCTTTTCGCGAAAGAGCCGAAAGAGCCGTCTCGTCCGAGGCCGCGTCGGGGACGCCGCGCCGATCGTCGGGAAACGCAGCGCGAGCCGGCCGTGCGGCGCTTAATCCCCCGCCATAAAAGCCCTGTATCGAAAGTTAGGACACCGAAGGAGCGAAGCCGCAAAACGCACGTCGATCCACCGCCGTTGGGGTGACGGTAGTGGCGGCGTCGGGGGCGTCGGGGGCGTCGGGGGCGGCGGGGGCGGCGGGGGCGGCGGTGGCGCAGGGGTGGCACGGGGCGACGAGCGGTCGGGACGGTCGTGCGTTTCCGCGGGCGCTCGGTCGGCGGCCTCTTTGTGCTCGGGTAGGGGCAAGATGGCGCTCGGTAGAAGCCGGCGCGCCATTGGTCGATCGGGGCTGCGCCGCCAGTCTCCCGAGAGCAGTCGCTACCACGACTTCGCAGCGGTGAGACGCGTCGTCGTCGCCTCCGGAGGAGCGCAGGGAGAAAGAGAGAGAGAGAGAGAGAGGGAGAGAGAAGGGGAATTAAGAGAAAAGGAAAACAAAACACGCGCTTCTCCGCTCGTCGCCGCGACGACGGGCGTGCAATGGCCACTGCGCGACTCGCGGAGTAGACCTGGTGGCCCGCGGCGCGTCTCGTCGCGTCCTCTCGCTCCGCTCCGCTCCGCTCAATCGCGCCCGCATCGACGCGCGGGTGCGAGCGAACGAACGAACGAACGAAGCAACGAAAAAGCCGGTCGGATTCGCCCGTCGATCTCGCGACGGTCGCTCGCTCGCTCGCTCGCGTGTGTGTACGCGCGCGCGCGCGCGCGCGCCCGCGGCTCTTATCCTCGAGCGCTTCTGGTGAATAAAGTGCGTGCGGATCACAAGTGCCCCAGCGGTCAAGTGTTGTAGCGAAGCCTCTATGTGTGCGGCCCGTTGTCGAGTGTGCGTTGTCGCGCTGCCGCCGCTGCCGGCGCTCGGATCCCTCGTCGCCCACGGACGGTGGATTTATCAGGCGCGGCGTCGTCGTCTCCCCTAGACGCGCTTCGGACCTCGCCACCCTTCTCGCCCTCGGCGAGGCTCGTCGACTTGGACGTCGTATCGGTGAGTGCCAATCAAATTCCCGAACCATCCCCGTGCGTGCATGCGTGCGTGCGTGCGTGCGTGCGCGCGACAGATGCGAGCTGGACGCGCCGTAGACGCGTCGCTCGCGTCACGGTGGACGCGACAGCGAACGCCGCCGTCTGTCCGTCGCGATCAAAACATCGCGAGTGCAAAAAACGCCGCGCGGCGCCTTCCGATCCGCGAGTGTACGCGCGCGCGCGCACGCACGCACACGTTCGCGACTCGCGGATAATGGAGGCGAAAAGGAAATTCGAATCCCCGCGGCCGTGGTACACGGCCGCCCGTATTTACAGCGTCGAAAATTGAATCGGCCGAATTACAGCTCCGCGTAATCGCGCGCCGCGTGTGCGCGCGTTAACGCGCTTGGCAGCAGCGGTCGCTGCTCTCGAGCGAAGAGGCTGTCCGTACGAGAGCCTCGATGTCCGAATAATCTCGATAATCTCACTCGCTCTGTCTCTCTCTCGGTGGAGGCCGCCGAGGGCGATCCCCCGATCGGCGCGGACCGAGCGTTGACGCGCGCGCTCGCCAAATGGTTTTCGGTCGAAACGCTCGGCGGTTCATGGTTTACGTGTTATTTTGTTAAATCCCGGCCGTCGCGCCGCGTCGAGGCCGCGTCCCATAATCGAGAGCCGCGTTGACATTCTGAAACGGCACACGTCGATACGTCGTCGTCGTTTCACCGTCGACGAAATTCCGCGGCGAAACGGTCGCAACGAGGGCCTCCCGGTGCGCCCCCGCGCCGCTGATTTACGCGCGCGAGAACGGGCTCGGTTTCTTCCGGCTACGCTTTTTACACCTGTTCTTTTCCGTCCCGTCGTGCTGACGTGTTTGCCACGCGGATGCCCGCGCGACGCGCGACGCCACGAATGATGAAACGTTATTTTCGCCCGGTATGGGAAACGTTTAAAAAGATGCTCGCGTGTCCCCGGTCGTTTAACGAATCGAGCGGTGAATCAGCGTCCGCGTGAACAACTCTCGAGCCTAATCTACAATGTGCACCCGGAAACATTGTATTTTGTATAGACAGAAACGCTTGGAAAACTTGTCGACAGTTTCATCAACTCGCGCACACGTTTTTAACGCATTCGTTGGCTACGAAATGGAATGTTCCTGGACGCAGAGAGCACTTTGTAGATTCGCGCCAGGATCGGACGTTTTTTTTTTCTAATCAAATGCGAACTCGCTTTCTATTGTTTAGATCGACACTCTGTTTCTTCTATAAAAGATGGGATTCTGAAATCTTATGACTTACTTTTCAATCAGGCGATTGATTGAACGATCGCCGTTTATTTGTGCGAGAAATGGAGTATTAATCCAGACAATAGAAACGTATCAGAAATGTACGTGACCGCTCGGCACTTCCGGTGTTGACTTGTAACACGAAGGCCCGATTTCACCGGCGTTATTTAACTTTAGGTCTAGCTCACTAACTCGTTCCTCGGCTCTTTCCAACTGTTGATTTGGAAAGAGACAAAAACGCGAATTAAACTAAGATTCAAGCTAAGCGACGTGTGATGAAATCGGGCCCGAGGCCTGGTTTTTCATTTTCTGGTCAATTGTTAACCAGAGGTTAGTCGAGACTCTGCCTCTCTTCAGAAAAGGATGTAGAGTCGGCTAACGTCTGGTTAATTGTTAACCAGAAGTTAGTCCGTTCCTCTGTCTCTCCTTGGATAATAATGTAAAAAGAGCTGGAGAGCCGACTAACTTCTGGTTAACAGCTAACCAGAAAATGAAAATCCGGGCCTAAAAGGAACCGCTGCGACGCGACATTTATTAATAATAATTTAAATGACCGGTCACGTACCTTTTAAATTTTATCTTAATTATTGAATCTTGTATCTTAATTATTGAATTTGTATCTTAATTATTGAATTAGGGTGTTGAAAAAGACTAAGTAACGTCGAAACGTTCACTTATGCAAATTATTAAGAATATAATTGAATTTTCTAACGTCCTCTATAGTAGCTCGTTATTTTTGGCCTCTAAAATTTGATCATTTGTTTATACATTCAACGAGCGTCCACTTTATATTATTAAAATACTTACTCTCAGACCCCCACCCGACAAGGACCTGATCCAAAGATCGAAACGTTGCGAGAGCCAATTTAATAAACGTGGCCCGCTGAGGTCGATTGAAAGCTGAAATTCTAAAAGGAAACTGTCGCACATACAATAACCACTGTTCTTATCGTGTACACGCACCGGCATAAATGCTGTCCCTATCCTTGTGAGGTGCACGCACACAACTACAGGGACTCTAGTTGTGTGCGGGCACCTCACAAGGATAGGGACAGCATTTATGCCGATGCGTGTACCTACCGACCGTGGCCCGGGTCATATTTAACGCGAGCGTCTCGTCGGCGTTCGAGACGCGTGAAAAGGGGTGAAAGGAACGGATAATTCCTACGAGGGCTGCGCGGCGGAAGCGTGTCGGGGCGCGTGCTCCTCGCGCCGAAAGGCCGCGCGCCCCCTCCCCCTCCCCCTCCACCCCTAACCCGGTCGGGAAAGGTCCATTTATTGTCATGTACTCCGCTGGCCGCGTAATGAGAGTGTGCGCGTTGCGCGAGGCGCGATCAATTTCGGAAGATCCGCCGTGTTCCGTAGGTAGATACGTACGTACGAAAGATGTTGCGCCTCCCCGTCCCCGCCCCCGCCCCCTCTCGTCGCGCTATCGCGGCAGTTTATTATCCTTGAGTGCTGCTCCAGAGCACTTCTGCCTCTCCTTTCACCGTCTCTGTCTCGCTGTCTTCTCTCTTCTCTCCCCGGGCACTCCCGCACCAATCTTACAAATCCCTCTTCTCTCGGACACTCGTCACGCTCGCACGTATCTACTTTGCGCGCACGCGTCCACGCGGATGACGAACGAGAGCGTAGCCGTCCGCGTTCTCTATGGGAACCAGCTCCGATTTACGCGCGCGACGCGCTTATTACCGGTAAGATCCCAGACCCGCGTCCCGATAATAACACGCCCTTTCTACACCTCGGATCGACCGCCGCTTGCTCGCCCGACTTTTGTACGATCTCGCTACGGCGTTTTTCACCGTCTTCTTATACTCTTACGCGGAGAAAAAAAAGCCTTTGAAAGTTTCAGTGAAATAAACATTATACGCCACAGATAAATGTTCAAAGACTTTTTTCTCAGCGTAGAGTCAATCGGTGAATAATCACTGATTCACTTTTCGAGAGTGTGTAGAAGTGTCACCCGAGTCCACGGAGAGAACTTTCTTTTAAAATTTATCCCGAGCATTGTGCAATCGTGGGACGATACGGCATTTTGAAGAATTTTGTGAGTTTTTGGAAATTTTTGTAGTGTACATCCTACTAGTAAAATGTATGGTGAAATTTCGGAAAACTCATCAAGTTCTTTAAAACGCCACGTCATCCCACGATTGCACGATTTTCCGAGTAAATTTTCAGAGAAAATTCCCTCCTCGCGTAAACCGTGTCGATACGACGATTTTTGCACGTCCATCTACTCGCTCAACTGATCTTGCGACTCGTCCTTAGAGCGGAAAGATTGTCGTAACCGCAAGGAAATCGTCGTAGACGTACACATATATCGCATCCATCGCAACGACGATTCTTTGTGCATTGACTTCCGACACCGACTTGTGCGACACGACGGAATCCTAAACGGATTTTTGTATGACTTCGCTACGATTTCTAACCGCCTTCTTATGTAGAAATGGCACCTGAGTTTATAAACGGCCTCGATACGGCGATTTTTGCACGTTTATCTTCTCACTCAGCTGATCTTGTGGCTTATCCCTGGAGCAAAAAGATTGTCGGAGCCGTTTACGATTCCGTAAGATTCAAGTTGGTATCGGAAGTCGACGCACAAGGAAATCGTCGTAGGCATAAAAGAGAGTCCTTTTTTAATAATCGCCATCCAATCAAGAATCATATAATTTAACAAATAAATAATATACAAAAGATTGTTATATCCGCACTCAATATCGAGCGCCTGGCTCTGATTGCCCTTGCATTACGCCTATTAACGTTTCATAAAAATTGTTGTTTGTAAACTCACATATATAATTGAATTATTTACATATATTTTGTTAGAAAAGAAAATACATTTTTATTGTCTCTACAAAAGTAATAATATCATCAAATTGCGCCAATTAAAATGGATATTTATACAAACTAGATACTTCATTATTTTTGATATTAAAATGTTATATCCAAACAATCGAGCATACGATTTTACCGAAAGAAATAAAAGAGACAATAATATCATCCCTCGTATCGTCCTCTATTATAAGATAACCTCAGGGCCGCTTTATCCAAACTCCGGTTAAATTAATCGACGATTAAAGGTTTGCCAACATGACAAATACAGAATAATTCTGTGTGACCGACTATATTCCTGCCGGAGAAAGAAAGGTTAGGACGACGCGATTACATCGCCAGGAATATAGTTGGTCACACTGAATTATTTTGTATTTGTCATGTTGGCAAACCTTTAATCGTCGATTAATTTAACCGGAGTTTGGATGAAGCGGCTCTTGGAAGGAAAAGAGAAATCGCCGAAATGTTCTTTATCAAGAAGCCCGATAACACGCTTAATTTACAAACAGACACCGAAAACTTAAATGTAATATATCACTGTGTAATCAAAACTGTTTAGTTCGCATCACCTTGTATTGTTCTTAAGACATGACTAACAAATTAGTTCGAGCGTAGCTACCACAGTGCTCGCACGTATATTTTATAACTCGACTCTGTCTTATTTGACGACGATGACTGTCTTAGGTGCGTTACTGAACTTTTAACTATTTAACGAAATCCTTTTTATTTATTAACCTACATTGTTCATAACTGCGTTGTTGATTTGCAGTATCACTCGAAAAGGACGCAAAAGAATAGGGTCGAAACGTTGTGTAATAAACTAATTAAATAACTAGCCAGCGTCTGCTAAATCAACAGGCATCATCCGTTGATTCCACCGTGAATTTATTGCCCTTGGAGTGAAGTCT